GAGTCACTCGGGAATGAGTCCCCCTAGCTCCTTAGTTAGGTTTCAATTGTATTTCCTTGGGTTGATGTACTGTTGATTAGACTGCGGAAGATCCGACAGTAGCTTGGAATCTCTTAAGCTGACCAAGCCCTCTCAGTCTAACTACCCGGCAGACGACTAGTCTTCACCGGGATAGAAAGCTGAAGCAGTAAGAACAGAACTCCACTACTGGAATTAGATTCCAGTACAAAGCAGTAAACTGGCTAACTCTCGTATAGCCAATCTCCTACTACCGAATGATGAGACTCTAGCAACCTAATCAGATTCTATCTATCTCAGATTGCAGCAGGAATCAGGAAAAGTTGATCAGACTTCAATTGACTCAATAAACATGCATCATTCGATTAAAATCAAATAGTAATATCATCCCAAGTTATTACAATCAATCCCTAACACATAGAACTAGGGTTCTTAATCCCCAAGTGAGAGAGGGGTTCTACTCCATAGAGAGAGAGGAAAACAGTAATCGGAGTAGTCATACTCATAAAGATGAGGAAAATCTGCTCCGGGATGATGATTTCCACTCCTAGGACGATCTCCAAGCTCGATTCGATGAAACCCAGCTCCAAGATAGCTTCTAGGATGTGTTCTTCATACTTACTCAAAACAGTCAACTCATGCATCCAACTCAAGACATCAGAATAGAGACCGAGCAATCTAGGTCCTCACCGGGGTACAAGAGTATATAGAATATGAAAATGAATCACTCAGTCTCGACCAGTGGGGTCAGGACAATTTGATGCGAAAAATGCGCATGTTATTTCTCTCAATCCCTAACATCTCTTCAATGGCAGCTTCTAAATGCTAGAGTTCACATATGGGGTGTCACCACTAACTAATCAGGAGGTCTTAGACACAGGTTCAAATGACTGGCTAGGGTCTTGGACATGGGGGAAAGGCCTTTTAGGTGGTGGAAGTATTCATAGCACAAGGTTCCACATTTCCAAACCCACACAATCACAGTCAAACAAACCGGTATTTCCTTTCTGCTATTCTGCATTACTCAATATCTCAAGAGCACAAGAGCGAAGGAGGTATAAATGTCAGCATTTCCAAGCCAGACTACTAAGAAACACTACTTACTGGGCATTATTCAGATTTTTGGTAGTGGTTCTCTTTGCTTTCAATTTTTCTTTGGTTTTTTCTTTCATTTTCTTTTCATTTCTTAAAAGAGCCACCACTTCTGCACATATTTCAAACACATGCCCAGCCCAACTTTTAAGCACTACCTCCAACACTCACATCAAATTTAGCAGAAACAGCAGAGAATATGTAAAAAAACACTCTGTGGAACCTTCTAAAAGATGCAAAAGGGTGATTTTTTTTTCATTTCAGACCAAAAGAAAGGATAACACACGGCTCAAAAGGGCTGACTGAGGGATATGACACATCAGGACAGTCAAATTTGGTCGTGGGCTAATCCTATGCCCCCATCATCTTAGCTAGTGACAACGTGAATGCTACACATCATGGAAGAGGGATCTATCACACAAGAAAGAAACGAGGAGGCTCAAATCTCACATGGCTACCTATATGCTCTATCTCACATTCTGATACCCTGAACTAGATGCAAAAACGACTGTCAAGAACAAGTAATCAATCCAAGTCACAGTTGGTAAGCAAACAGTTGAAAAACTGAACCCCTACACAATTCTACTGCACGTCTCAGTCCTCATCATAGGTTGTCCTAGTCGCAATCAAGCTGTCATGCATCAATCCGAAAACCATTCAATTCACCAATCAAAACACAGTGCCAATATGATCAAACAGCAGTACTTGGAGCCCTCAAATCATAAGATTCGGACAGCGGACTAGGCTCCAAGCACCCAAATATATATTCCAACCGATACAAAGCACCCCCCCCCCCCCCCCACACTTAAGCACGACATTGCCCTCAATGGAGTAGAGGGAGAGATAAGGGGAACGATGTTACCGGATTGAAACTGCTGGGGGACTGGAAGTGGACCAGTCAGCGAGAAACAAACGGGAAGATGTACCATTCTGCACCAATCGAACACCAAGAACATACTAGCACACGTTGTGTTAGGGATAAGTGTTAGCCCAGACGGCTACAACAAAAACAATCCACAAAAGAAAACCAAAAACAAAAACAAACGACACTAAGTTCAAGCTCCTCACACATGGAGCAAACACACAAAAGTCTAATATGGAAAACAAAACACACTGAGATGGGCAACGAGTACAGCCTACTCGTCGCCAAGATTGTCCAGGTCGATGTCGTCCATGAAGGCGTCATAACCATCAGCACCATCGTCACCATCCGCTGGGGGAGGTGGAAGTGGAGAGTCCTCCCAGGGAGTCCTCCAAACGGGCTGCTTGCCCGGTAGCAGCCGGAGTAAATACTGCTGGACCTCCTGCATGCGCCGTGAACGGCGCCTCTCTCGCTCGATGTGTGCGAGAGTCACTCCCTGCTGGGTCTGGATCTGGTCCAATCTCTCATCGTAAACAGCCATCCTCTGGTGGTACCCGGCCTGGTGAGCCGCGTACTGCTGCTGGAACTGCATCTGATGGTCGAGGATCTGCTGGTTCTGGAGACGCAGCTGCTCGAACTGGGAGGTGAAGTAATCCTGCCCCGGGAAAGCGGAGCTGCTACCTCCGTAATGGAAGTGAGTCTGTGGTGGATCAACAGCAGCGTTTACATCCTCGGGCTCCATATGATCAGCAGCCTCATCCTCCTGGCCCTCTAGCTGGACCTCTGGTTGGTCCTCCTGCTGGTCCTCCACGGGGATCTGAGGTTCCGGAAACCCCTGGATCCATAGAATGTCGCAGTTCTCTCACAGCAGGTGCATGTGCTTGATCGTCGACCTGCCAAAAATGATGGTGTCCCCCTGCTGTGTGCACCCCTGCAGGGAAAGGCCGAAGTAGGTGGCCAGGCGGGTGATGAGGGGGGTGCAGTGGAGACTCTTCAGTTCCGAAGCAGTCTTCTCGAAGGTCCTGGCCACCACCGAACCCAAGTGGAGGGGATGGTCGTCCTGGCGGATCGACTGGATGAGGTACAGGGCCCTCTTAGTGATGGCGCTGGCACTGTCTGAAGCTGGAGTATAAGACTTTGCCAGCAGGTGGTGGAGAAGGCGGTTGTCGAGCTGCAGTGTAGTGGCCATTGTCCTCCCGGCCGAGAAGGGACGTGTCTGGCCTGGCCGAGCCAGGCGGGTGTACAGCCTCCTGAAGTCCACCTCCGGCGGGTCGCTGACCTCGGTGACGTAGTCCAGACCGTCGTCGAGGTCGAGGTCGAGAGCCTCGGCCAGCTCGTGGTAGCTCATGGACCGTGGGGCACCGCCTAGCCTGAATTTGACGGATGCACCGTCTCTCCAATCGTCCGTGGGTGTGTGCTTGAAGGTCGTGTAGAACTCAAGCACGGGCTCATAGTAAACCTTCTCGCAGATGGAGAGCAGACGGCGCCATGGGTGGTTGGTGACGGCGGCGGAGAGTTGCTCGTAGCAGTGCAATGTCCGAAACTCCCGTTTGGACCATCAATGGTGCTACCCAAACGGGCATTTCAGGACCTGCTTGAAGCGATCCTGGGCGGGCCCCCTCTTTAAATCCCGGATGAACGGGTGCTTGAGGTCAGGTTTCGACATTGTCCTGCAAAAGGAAACCCAAAGTGGAACCAAAAGAGCCAAAGAAAGGGTCAATTACACCCCCACACTTAAGAACTGAAAACAGCCGAGCCATGGTTTCATCCATAGTTCGGGGGTCAAAAACTCGATAAATCAAGCATAATCTGAGTGGGGGTGCACATTCACGATAAAGCAGGCAACTTAAGGTTCACATCCATAGCAAACACACCCTCAAAGCACATCAATAAGGGTCACAACCGGTGCCCACAACATAGCATGAAAAACAGGCATTTCATCGAACACCTTGTGTGCACTATTAAGGTAAGCATGAAATTGGCACAATTCTTGCACACAAGGGCTCAAACAATCAAGAGGGACTTTGCCCAACACAATTCAAACACACTCCATGCATTCCCCTCAATCAATTGCACAAAAATCACAAGATTCAATGAGGTTCTCTAAACATGCACCCTAACACCCAATTCTCCACAATTAACATAGTTAAGGGAAAAATCAAACCTGGAGACTCAAGTAGAGGTGTAGGGGATGATGAGGGGAAGGCGATGGAAGCGACGAAACGCCGAAAAAGTGCCCGGAAGTGCTCGTCGGAGCCTCGCTGGAGTCTCGCCGGAAATCGCCTCCGGCGACAAAAACGTCGGCCAAATCTGCTCAAAATGGAGGGATAGGCCGCTTTTGGTGTAGGAAGGGTGGATTTGTTGTTGGTTTGGTGGAAAAATGACAAAAAATGGCCGAAAAAATCGAAATGGGGGGTTTTTGTCGCGGTTTTCCGGCGACGTTCAGAGGATTCCGGCGAGGATTTTTCAAAATTATGACCACTCGACCGTGCTGGCCGAATATATAGGCCGTGGCTCGGCCACACGGGCAGGCTCGCACGGCCGTGCGAGGTGCAAGTTTGCCCGTGTTGGCCGACACGGCCTGGCCGAGGAAACCCACACGGCCGTGCGAATTGCACTGTTGGCCGTGTGGAATTTGTCGAGGGCTCACACGGCCGATGGAAAATTTTCACACGGCCGTGCGAGTAGATGAATTGCCCGTGTCGGCCACACGGCCAGGCCAGGCCAATCCACACGGCCGTGCTAATTGCACTTTTGGCCGTGTGGAATTTGTCGAGGGCTCACACGGCCTGGGGATAAAATCCACACGGCCGTGCAATAATATGGCCTGGCCGTGTGAGCTGCTGGAGCCCCGAATTCAACCTGTTTGCACCCAAAAACGACATTCGACTCTGGAACAACATCTCAAGACTCAAAAACACAAAAAAAAAACAAAAGGAAAAATGTAAGAAAATGCAAACCTCGGTGGGGTTGCCTCCTCACAAGCGCTTCTTTACCGTCTTTTAGCTGGACGCCAGTCGGTGGATGCTCAGTGAGGTGAAGGAGCAGGTGCCTTCAAGAGCGGATCCACCTCGCTCTTGAGGTACAGTTTCAAATGGTTGCCATGCACACGCCGAATGTGGCCACCAGCATTTGCCAACTTAACTTGGCCATCCGGCAGGATGCAAGCGAGTGAATACTCGGATGGCCAAGGTGGGGGCGGGACCAGCTCGTAGTGGTCTCCGGCTTTCTTTCGGGCAGGCTTAGCTGCCTGCAGTTTTGGCCGCCACTCCTCCCAGATCTGTTCTTTCGATGACGGAGTGGACGGGAGTGGCGGCGAAGGTATGGGAGGCGGATCCTGCAAAATACGAAGCACGATAGACTCGTGCTCCTGGTGAGATACCGCATGCAGAGGTGACGAAGCAGGAAGAGTATTAGAAATTGAAAACGTTATTCGCTCCTCACCATCCCTCAAAACTAAGGTCCCATCATGCACATCTATGAGGGCCTTGGCGGTGGCCAGGAAAGGCCTTCCCAGTATCAATGGCACATCCTCATTTATGTCCAAAATCACAAAATCAACAGGATAATTGAATTTGCCAACCTTAACCAGAAGGTCTTCCACTATGCCCCTAGGATGCACTACAGATCGGTCAGCTAATTGAAGGCTCATCCTAGTAGCACGGGGTTCACCTAGGCCTAGTTTCTTAAACAGTTTATATGGCATAACATTTATACTAGCACCTAAATCCGCCAAGGACCTCTCTACATGCAAATTATCGATAGAGCACGGGATAGTAAAACTACCTGGGTCCTTCTGCTTCTGCGGAAGCTTGTTCTGCAGAATGGCCGAGCACTCTTCGCTGAGCTCCACAGTGGCCAGCTCGCTCAGCTTCTGCTTCTTTGAGAGAAGATCCTTCAGGAACTTCGCATACTTAGACATTTGAGAAAGTGCCTCCAGGAAAGGTACTTGGACATTCAGCTTCCTAAGCATGGCCATGAAGTTCCCGAATTCTGCATCTAGCCTGTCTTTGTGCAACCGAGTAGGGAAGGGGAGTTGAGGGATATACTCCTTCACTGGTTGCGGTTTAGGTGCAGGCACCTCAACCTCCTTCTCTGTTTCTTCTTCAGCTGCTGGAGATGCCGAGGCAAGCGCCTCTCTCTCTTGTGCCCGAGCAGGTGGATCAATAGTCATCTTGCCACTCCTGGTCATGATGGCATTGCAGTGCTCATTCGGGTTCTGAGGGTGAGGGATGGTCTGACCGGGCAAAGTACCAGGAGCCCTTTGTGCCACTGCTTGAGCCACACTCCCCAGCTGGGTTTGGATATCCTGCAAGACAGCCTGTGTATTCCTCTGGCCAGCTTCAAGAGCCATGAATTTACCCGATGCCTTTTCCATGAACTGCTCGATAGTGTTAAATTTTTTAGCACTAGAACTGGCGAGAGAACCCACCAATTCCCGCAGTTCAGCCATCTGATCATTCTGCACTGGGGCGGCAGGGGCTGCACCTGGCTGCTGGAAAGGTCGCGGCTGTGATGGAGCAGCATGCCCCTGCATGGGCTGGTAGAGAGACTGCTGCTGCTGCTGGAATTTCCCCTGTCTGGGCTGATATGGTGGCCTCTGGAAGCTCGGAGGTCCCTAGTGGACTGGTGGTCTGGGATTTGCCCCACCCCAGGAGAAGTTGGGATGCTGGCGCCACCCCTCATTGTAGGTGTTACTGTAGGGGTCATTGCGCCTGACATTATTGATGAAGTTCACCTGCTCCTGGGGTGTGGTCGATTCCTTCATCGCCTGCTGCTCTCCGGTCCCTGGAATCATCCCGGAACGATCGATAGCTGAAACCAGCTTCGACACCACCTGCACCAAATCAGAGGAATGGTTGCCCACAGAATGTACACCTCGGCTTGGTGCTCTCCTCGACCTCCTCGCAGTGACCCAATCATACCCGTTCTCTGCCATCTTCTCAAAGAGTTGATTCAGCTGTGGCGGTGTTTTAGTCAGCATGTTCCCGTCACAAACTGAGTCAATTAGCTGCTTATCTTCTGGGAAGAGGGCATGATAGAAGGTTCCCACCTTGAAAGCATCGTTGAAACCATGATTGGGACACCTCAGGAAGAGACTGTTGTATCTCTCCCAAGCATCCCTGATGGTCTCATCTTCATCCTGAGTGAAGTGGGTGGATCTGCTTCTGCAAGTCCGCCGTCTTGGACGGAGGATGGTAGCGGGTAAGGAACTTGTCCACCAGGTTGGCGAACGTGGTGATGGAGCCCGGAGGTCGAGTGTCTAGCCACTCCTTGGCCTACCCCTCCAGGGTGAATGGGAAGTACCTCAACTGGATGGCATCTGCGGGGACCCCAGTGATCTTGATTCCATCAATGAGCTCATGGAATTTCCTGAGATGTGATCGGGGGAACTCCCCCTCTTTGCCTCGGAACATCACTGAACCGCGCAGCATGGTGATTTCTGAGGTGCTCACCACGAAATTATTGGCTGGGACATGAGGGTGTTGAATGGGTGACCTCATGTCTGCAACCCTGGCGGTCCAGTAATGACCCATGGTCTGCTCCCCAGGATTGACCACATCATGGTCCTGTGGATCGGCCATCTCCTCTTTTCAGTGATCTATAGCTGTGCTAGCGCCTCCTCCGCAGCCAGTCGCGCCTTTAGAGCCCGCTTGAAGTTTTTGCAGGTTCGTTCAAGCTCCTGGTCTAGTGGTAGTAGATCTCCCGACTGGCTACGGGTCATGCACTACCTGCACACAATCAGCAGAAGCAACCCGTGAAGGCACACAGGTGGAAAAGATAAAATGCAATAAGGAAAAAGCTAGAGTAACAAATTCTCACGTTTCCCCAATAACCTAGAGGGTTCCCCGGCAACGGCGCCAAAAACTTGATGCTCTAAAACACAACACCAATCTGCGACCAAGTGTAATCGCAGACCAAGAATGCAGTAAAGTGACAAGTGATATTATCAACCCGGGGTCTAGATCTACTGCTTACTCAGTGATTATCTATTATCTAGCCAACTAAAGTAGTGATTGTTGTTTTAAAAGCAAAAGCAGAAAGAAAGCAGGAATTGGTACGGTTTTCTCAAGCAGGTAAGAGTCACTCGGGAATGAGTCCCCCTAGCTCCTTAGTTAGGTTTCAATTGTATTTCCCTGGGTTGATTTACTGTTGATTAGACTGCGGAAGATCCGACAGTAGCTTGGAATCTCTTAAGCTCACCAAACCCTCTCAGTCTAACTACCCGGCAGACGACTAGTCTTCACCGGGATAGAAAGCTGAAGCAGTAAGAACAGAACTCCACTACTGGAATTAGATTCCAGTACAAAGCAGTAAACTGGCTAACTCTCGTATAGCCAATCTCCTACTACCGAATGATGAGACGCTAGCAACCTAATCAGATTCTATCTATCTCAGATTGCAGCAGGAATCAGGAAAAGTTGATCAGACTTCAATTGACTCAATAAACATGCATCATTCAATTAAAATCAAACATTAATATCATCCCAAGTTATTACAATCAATCCCTAACACATAGAACTAGGGTTCTTCATCCCCAAGTGAGAGAGGGGTTCTACTCCATAGAGAGAGAGAGAGAGAGGAAAACAGTAATCGGAGTAGTCATGCTCATAAAGATGAGGAAAATCTGCTTCGGGATGATGATTTCCACTCCTAGGACGATCTCCAAGCTCGATTCGATGAAACCCAGCTCCAAGATAGCTTTTAGGATGTGTTCTTTGTACTTTCTCTCTCTAGGGCTCTGTTTTTTGCTCAAAAATCCGATCCTCCCTCTTTTGGCTCGAAATTGGCTGAAAAACCAAGATTTCCCGACTCACACGGGCAGGCCACACGGCTGTGTGGCTCACCCAGGTGCCCGTGTGAGTCAAAACGCGGCGTATCAATTAGTTCAATCTTCAGGCTTCCCACACGGCCAGGGTCGCACGGCCCGTGTGGGCTTTCCATCCTGCCCGTGTTTGCTCTCGACGAAAATCACACGGCCACAAATGTGAGTTGCACGACTGTGTGATGTCCAGGAATGCCCGTGCAGCTTCCTTAGCACCTCGCCACGCGTCCGATTTTCGTCCAATCGACCCCAAACTCACTCCTAAGCCTCCATTCACGTACTAGGACCTGAAATATGACAAACAAGCACAACCTAGCGTGAAATCGGCCTAAAACACGAGAATCAACACCTCAAATGGTGTAAGAACAGGGGTAAAAACATGTGTAATTAACGGTCTATCAAGGAGGTAGCAACAAAAATATCTATTGTTATGCCGGAAATCCGAGTTGTGTCAACACTCTTCACTTATATCAACCGCATTGAACATCTCGTGGCCACTAAATGGGAGTTTGTAGAGTACCCAATTGTGGATATAGGACAATCCTATTCGATGTTTGTGGAGCACCATGCACCAATCGAAAGGAGCGATCCATGTTTGTTCACCATTCCATGTGCAATCAAAGGATCTACCTTCATGGAAGTCATCCTGGATCTATTCTCATACCTCAATCTCATCAGCTTCAAGACATATAGGAGGTTGAAATTACCAAGTTTGTGTAACATCCCGTTTCGGCTAAAATCGTATTTCGATCGCTAGAAAGTTCGCGATTTAAAATCGAGCATTTCGACACTATTTCAGCGAAAATCGGATTATCGATCGATCAGATAAGTATACGTATTAATATATATATATATATATATATCTATATATATATATATCCTGTCCATTTAATTTCCCCACCACCGTTTCATTTTTCCATCTTCTTCCTTTTCGTAACAAAATAGAACCGAGAGATAGTGGAGAAACAGGGCGCGCAGGAGACAGAGCAGGAAATTCTCCGAGCTCGATTCTTAAGCTTTAGCAATCCAAAAATCCCGTAAGTAATGCCTAATTCATCTATACATCGTGTTTTATCGATTTAGAGCTTTAAAACGAGTTTTTGGTTCAGGAATTTCTTGAATTCCCGATCTGCCAAATTAGGGTTTCGGAGTATCCGGAAGCCGGATTGAGCCCAAATTTCATATACGAGCTTCCTGCAGCGAGGTAATCAATCCCCTAGTTCTAATCCCTGAATTTCGGCTATTAATTAGGCCGGGGTCCAAACCGCTGAATTTAGCTCCGGCCAGGGTTTGATGTGTTTTTATCGAGAATTTGACCCGGAGCCCAGAACTAATATTGACGGGGATACTGCAGGGGATATTAGGACGGTCTCGGATTTTAATTCGGGGTTCGTTCGTGAAATTGATGTTTTAGTACCGGAGGCTAGAACCGGTGTTTGAACGACCAGAACTGGTGAGGGATTAGCACGGCATATCGGGTTTGTCGTATCACGATAATTATATTGATGCTTAGAATTGATCTAGGTGAACTAGAATGGCATGATTAGGGGTGTATGGACTTTTGTGCTATATGTTGAACCCTGGATTGCTGTATGATATTATTGACTTGCCCTAATCGATATAAACCTTGTTTATGCTGATGATTGTGTATATGTTGCAAATTGTGGGCTTGACTATTAATATGCTTTACGATGGTTCGAGAAGGTGATTAGGTATGATTTTTCATGATTGTTGTATTTGGATGCACAAGTGGGGAAATATATATTCCCTGGTGATATTATGATGTTTAAGGAGGATGACTTGCACGAGGGTTTATCCCGAGGAAGTGCAATTATACGACTCCTAATTTACCTATGTTGAGCCAATTATGGCCAGGTCAAGTACATGTGCAAGTAACGAATTATGATTAAACAAGATGAGATATGAATCATGTATAAGGATACCAATTATGAGTGTTGTGGTCTCACGGTCAACTACATAGTAATTAGGGCTCCCTATGCTATTACTCTATTATGATATGATAGTCACACCTCTCATGTGGTGGGGACTGAAGAATTCTTACGAGATATGACCACACCCAGAGTGGTGTCGGGGTATGACTACACCCATAGTGGTGTGGGGTATGTATGACCACATCCGACGGGATGTTGGGGTATGTATGACTACATCCGACGGGATGTGGGGTATGTTTCCCGGGAGAGTTATTAGCATGGGAGTAGCCAGGCGCCTATGATTAAAACATGATAAGATGCATATGCATAAGTCAAAGTGGTTGAGTCTTTTGCTTATTGGGATATGAGGATGGCTGGGGTCCGATCCTAGTGTTTTGGCTCGTTTGCTAGATGTATGGTAGGGGTATGCTCTGTTATGAACTCACGATGCTATGATTATCTCACTCAGCTATGAGCTGACCCTCTTTTATTCTTCTTCTCTGCTTATGCTATGTGTAAGCAGATCATCAGCAGCAGCAGTAGATAAGTGTTAGGTGGGAGAGGAGCTAGAGTTGAAGCCAGGATGAGGTATGGTCTTCAACTATTCTGTGCTTGGACTACTACTTGGGATTTTGGCCAGTGATCCACACCTTTTTGTAAAAATGTTTTGAGAACATTTTCATGTGCATACTAGCTTCGAATGTAGTGTGAGATATCCAGAGGTGTGGAAAGTTAATGATATGTGTATATGTTGTGTAACTGTGTAAGTTGTGACGATTA